CACTTGATCACCGATTGTGGTAGACCGCCTTTTAATTATTCCTTGGGCATCTGGTAAAAAGCACTAGTTAGTCATGTGACAGTGGACTTTCTGGGGCATCATGCTTCTTGGATTTCCTGCTTCTTCCTTAGTTCTAATCCCCCATCTTCCTCAGAATGCTTCCGTTTTCTCTTGGTTACCCAATTCTACTGATTTTCTTTAGGATCCTTATTTCTGGAAGGAGGGCAGTAAGTAATGCTTCTCCTATTTCTAATTTTAAAGGGTGTTATTTATTTTTTCCTTCATCCCCCTAGTATTATCAACTTTGCTAATATTTCCAAATAGTGACGTTTCTGCGCTGTGGCTTTTCTCTGCTGTTTTGGGCCCCAGACTTCAAATTTCTTTCCATCTGGTCACTTTGGTTTTCTTTCTCTTTCTTAAGGAAGAAGCTTAGTTTATTCATTTGCAATTAGAACAAAAAATACAGATAACTGGGGCCAGCAAGCTGGCTCGCTGGTAAGGGCGCTTGCTGCCGAGCCTGACGACCTGAACCTGGGCTCCAGGATCCACATGGTGGAAGGAGAGACATGACCCCTGTAAATTGTCCTCTGACCTCTGACCTCCACATGTGCACTGTGGCATGCACACACACACTGAATAAGTAAATGGTATAAAATAATTAAATCTAAGTACCTGTCTCACAATGTCTAAGTGTTGCTTTATAATCCCTCCTGTGTGCTTCCTGTCCCACCCAGTGATGCGGGCGCTCTCCTGGGCGCTTTCCTTCGACCGTCTGGCTATTGAGGAGCACGTTAATTCATGCACAGTTGTGGATGATCTGGGTGTTTCCTGTTACTGACTTATAATGTCACTTCCTGCGTGGTTTAAGAGCATATTTTGAAGATTTCAGTCATTTCAAGTTTACTGAGGCAAGTTTCTTCTGATATCATCTATTGGGACTAATTTATTGAGGCAATATCTTCTGATGTAGTCTATCAGGAGAACGCTGCCCTTTGTATTTGAGAAGAATTTGTATCCTGGTGAGTAGGTGTTCCGTAGGTATCTGTCAGTTTGTTGGGGCTTTAGTGACTCTCGAGTCCCAGCCTTTCTTTTTTAAGGTTTTGTTTATTTTATGTGTAGGAGTGTTTGCCTGCATGCCTGTCTGTTCACCGTCTACGTGCAGTGCTTATGGAGCCAGAAGAGGGCCTTGAATCCCATGGAACTGGAGTAACAGAGGGTTGTGAGCCTCACGTGTGTGCTAAGAAGTGAACCCAGGTCCCCTGGAAGAGCAGACAGTGCTCTTAACTGCCGAGCCATCTCTCCAGCCCTTGATTATCTTCTAAGTAGTTCTGCCATTGTTAATGGTGGGTATGGAAGACTCCAGCCATGGGTGTTGAAATGTCTGTTTCCCCGTCTGCCTGTCCAGTGATGTCAGGGGCCTCAGTGTGTCCGGCTCTGCTCCAGGTGCACATGGCTTCTCTTACACTTGCATCTCCTGTCTGACGCACTCTGGCTTTACTGGTGTGATTTCTGACCGGTGTAACTTTCTTTGTTTCTGAAAATGTTCTTTGAGAGCTTTTGCAAGAAGGTCTGCTAGTGATGAATTACCTGACTTATCTTGGGACCAAGGAAACCTTCATTTCTCCCTTACTTTCATGATGAATATAGGATTTAGCTTGTTTTTTTTCTTTCAATTTTTCAATTGAAAAAAATTTTCATATAGTATGTTTTCATAGAACTCTTCTTGATTGCCTTGTTTCTGAAGGCAAGTATGTGTGGTCCATCCTTTCATTTAAAGTTTTTTTTTTTTTTTTTTTTTTTGGTTTTTCGAGACAGGGTTTCTCTGTGTAGCTTTGTGCCTTTCCTGGAACTCACTTGGTAGCCCAGGCTGGCCTCGAACTCACAGAGATCCGCCTGGCTCTGCCTCCCGAGTGCTGGGATTAAAGGCGTGTGCCACCACCGCCCGGCTAAAGTTTGTTTTTTAAAGATTTACTTTATTTTAAAGCATGTGTTAGTCTGTGTGTGGTATGTGCACATCATGAATACAGGTACCCATGGAGGCCAGAAGAGGGCGTCAGATCCCTTGGAACTGGCATTACAGGAGGTTGTGATCTATCTGCTGTGGGCACTTGGAACGAAACTCTAGTCTTCCTTACGTGTTCTCAACAGTTGAACCATCTCTCTCCCCAGCCCTGGACCATACTAAAACTTTTGTTGAAAACTTGGCATTTGAAGTAATTCATGGATGGGATCACGGCAGTCATGTTCCCATCCCTTCCTGTGTTCTGTTATTGTTTGTGGTTTGGTAAGCTTTATTTATTTATTCCCTATCTTTTATGGTTTGGCGAATTTTCTAAACTCGCTTTGTAAGGTTGAACCTCTCCTCTGCACAGCCCCCAAGTGGCTGGTGGATTAACTTTGTAGTCAGCTGATGATGGGACGTTTTCTAAGTGCTTGGGAACAGCAAGTCTTCCAAGTGTCCTGGGTGGGGCATGTGCTGGGACAGTCATTCCTCCTCTCCCAGGCAGGGATGTGTAGCTCGGCCTGGCCTTCTCCCCCTGGTTGTGCAGACCCTCAAGGGCAGCCTGAAGAGAGAGTTTGAGGCCTTCCCAAGAATGCACCTGGCTCTCGATGTGCCCACAGCCCTGTGAAGTTGGGGGGCCTGCTAGATTTCCAGGAAAATGGGGAAACTTTCCAGAGCCTCAGCTTTCTCTTTAAGGTTTGGCTAGCAATTTTTTGCCCCATTGACTACCCATTCAGGAAGCTGTGATGTTTAATTCTTTTAAATTACATTTATTTGTATGTGTGTATGTGTGGGCGTAGGGCGTATGCCATGGTATACATGTGAATGTCAGAGGACAACTTACAGGAGTGTGTGTGTGTGTGTGTGTATGTGTGTGTGTGTGTGTGTGTATGTGTGTGTGTGTACACAGAATGCAAGTGCATGTGTAAAGGTCAGAAGACAAATTTATTGAAATTTCAATAAATTTTTCAGTTTTCTCCTTCTACCACATGGAGCCTGGGGATCGAACTCAGGGTTCACGCTTGGCAGCAAGTGCCTTCACCCTCTGAGCCCTCTTGCCAGCCCTGACATCTGGCCCTTTTCACGAATAAATGCTACCCGACTGCTGTGAGGTTCACTTCCACAACGCCAGCAGTCTTGGGAGGCTCTCGTGGGTGCCGTTTGGAGATGTTCAGGGTCCTCGTGCCTGTTTTTGCTGCTGTCTTTGTTAACAGTGCTGCTCTGCTTGAGCACCCAGAGACGCTGAACAGTCTCTTGGTTTTGTTTTCTGAGACAAGCTCACCTTCTGCTGCCTGCCTCCCCGTCCCAGTGGCGGGGTCACAGGTATGCACTACCACATCCAACAAGAGTCAGAACTCTTCACCTCTTACTCCTTGGCCCAGAAATCAGTCAGCAGCGCTAATGCCTCCCTAATTTAAAGAATTATTCTTGGAGAATTTTATATGTGTATGCAATGTATTTGGATCATGTTCACCCCTCCAGCCCTTCCCAATCCCCTCACTTCTCTTCACCTTCTTCTTCTTCTTCTTCTTCTTCTTCTTCTTCTTCTTCTTCTTCTTCTTCTTTTTCTTCTTCTTCTTCTTCTTCTCCTCCTCCTCCTCCCCCTCCCCCTGCCCCTCCCCCTCCCCCTTCCTCTTCCTCCTCTTCCCCTTCCTCCTCCTCCTCCTCCTCCTCCTTCTACCAACTGAGTCCAGTTAGTACTTCCAGTATATGTGCGTAGGTATAGGGCCATCTATAGGAACATGGGCAACCCCACCAGCACACTCCTGAAGACACTGACTCTCCCTCCCTCAGCAGCAGCCACCAGTGGTTCCTTTGCTAGGGGTGGGACCTCTTGAGTCCCTCCCCCATCTGTGCTGGATGCTGACTGGCTTGGACTGATGGCCACTGGAAATATATACTGAAATATGTACATGTACTGAAAGTCCACAGATGCCAAGCCAGACTCCTATACCCAGAAGAACTGTCTGTCATAGTTGAAGGAGAAGGAAAAGCTTTTCCTGATGAGAGCAGGTTGAAGGAATGGTACTGGGAAGAGAATACTTCAGACTTGAGGAGGAGAGGTATCGCTAGAGGCAACAGGAAGAAACAAGGTTAGCCCCGTGATTAAGCAGAGGAGGACCAAGGAAACAACACTTAAATAACCATTATCTCTGCCTTTCTGAAGTTCTTTAGATCTGCTGAAAACACTCTAAACAGGACTTGGTGTTCCCCTCAAGGATGGTCAGAAAGGAGCGTCTAGGAAGTCGGCCGTGCTGACACAATGAAGGTGCTATAATCTGCTCTGCTTCCTCTCACCAGGGATTTATTGCACAAAATGTCGATCTTACCAGACTGGCATACTCTGTACCCCAGCACCCAGAAGATGACATACTCCCGCCCCCACTCCTCACCCTGCAGAACGCATTCAAGGACTGCCTTCCAAGATGTGTGCAGACCCTCTTCGTCAGGTGAGTCTTCACAAGGCATCATAGCACCGTCCACAGGTACCACTTACTGTTTGGCATGGGCTCCGTGAAAGGCGCACCATGAGTCATGTCCCAATACCCTCCCTATATCCTCTATGGGGAAATGCAGACATGGGTCCATCAAGGCCACTTTCATCACAGATATGTATAGTTTTAGAGTGAATTGCCAGGATCTGAACCCAGGCTGTGTGATCCTGGACCCTGTCAGCTTAATGGTTGTTACTCAGTAAATGACAGTTGTACAGATTTGAGCTTGTCCCCCAGTAGTCTTAGGTTTGCAGAGGAATTGATCAGAAGGTACCAAGTGTGCCCATGTAACTCCTCCCCCAGCCATCTTGGTTGTCCATCACACAACCTTCTAACTGCATAGTTTGGAGATTTACATCTAGATCAAGTTCGTGTTTATATGAAGGGTTTAAGGTCTACATCTAAATTTTTCTCCCCATCCTCTTCCTCCTCCAACTTTTTGGAGACAGGGTGTCATATAGCCTGGGCTAGCCCCCAACTTCCTGTATAGTCAAGGATGACCTTGAACTTATGATTCTCCTGACACCACTTCCCAAGCTCTAGGATCATAGGCTTATGCTACCATGCCCAGTTTATGTAGTACTGGGGATGGACCCCAGGGCCTCATGCATGTTAGGTAAGCTCTCCATCCATCATGCCACATCTCTAGCCCTGCACTCACCGTTTACACTGGCTCTCCATTTGCTAAGACCATCCTTTCCTCGCTGCATTTTGCTTGTTGAGTAGCCGGCCACCCGGCAGTCCATCATACGCCTTGCAGTAGTTTGTTACCCCTCCCCCATTCTGGTTGCTTCTGCATTTGGAATTATGAGAAAGCAGCTACAAATATATATATGCAGAGTGGATTTTTTTGTGAGAATAAGAATTGTTAAGCCATTTGGATTCTTCTTTCGGTTTAAAGACTACAGAATTTGACTTAATATTTCCCCAAATTATATATCTTTAGATCTTCACTCATTTCCTCCTTAATGCATTTGTTTCTTACACACATTTTTTGAGCTTTGGTTCAGGATGAGCACTGTTGATAGGTGTTGAGAATGGAGTTGGGTCTGATGAAGGCAGGCCCCACAGGGATGTAGTAGCCAGAGAGAAGGAAGTGAGGAAACTGAATGCTGAGTCTGAAGCGTGCATGCAAGCAAGGACCAAGCAGGAAATCTAAAGGATGCAGGACAGAGTCGGGGAGGGAAGTGGGAAGGACCAATGGGTGCGCCTGTAAGCCTTACAGGTGGGAATCTCACTGGACACATGCTTGCTGGTAGTTGGGGAGACTTTACTCCAGCGGCCCTGTGTATCACTAGTGAGCCGGGGGATACAGGCTTGATATCTGACGGCCACCTGTCTATCCTAACTCGGCTCTGTTGTTAAGGTGGTTTCTGATGAAAACATGACAGAGTAAAATGTAGAGCCGTTCCAGCGCACAGCTTCTCGTCTACACAACAATGCAGGGGGGTGGTCTTAGTATACTTGACAATCCCGATAAAGTGTGAAGGGGGCTACTGAGTCCAGGCATCCATCTCCCAGAGTTCTTTTTTTTGGGGGGGAGGGTTTCGAGAAAGGGTTTTTTTGTATAGCTTTGGAGCCTGTCCTGGAACTTGCTCTGTAGCCCAGGCTGGCCTCGAACTCACAGAGATCTGCCTGCCTCTGCCTCTCGAGTGCTGGACTAAAGTGACTAAAGGCATGCGCCGCCGCTACCACCACCAGACTACTCCCAGAGTTCTATCTATCTATCTATCTATCTATCTATCTATCTATCTATCTATCTATCTATCTATCTATCATCTATCTATCTATC